GTCAATGTAAAATTGTCTCGCGCCCCACCACTGGATTACCCTGACGAGCTGTGTGCAGCCCGCGGGCTGCAGGTTGCCCACCACTGTCCTAGACTGATACCAGACACCTCTGTGTTCTTGGGGAACCAGGGTGCAGTATCCAGCCTGACTCATGAAAGACACCGCTCCCCCCCGCCCCCCAGCCGCTGCTTAAACAAAAACCCATCAGAGGAAAAAACTTGCAGAGAGCAGTGAAGGGCGTTGGGAGACACACCTAGACCCCTCCTGATGAGGGTGACAAGATGAAGACATCTCTACTAGCATACAGGATGGAGAGCAGAGACAACTCCCCTAGCCTCATCTGCATGAAAGATGGGACAGGGAGACATCTCAGTTTACATACAGAATGGAGAACAGAGAACCGCACTGAACTCTGGGACCAGCGAAGCAGGGACGCACTGCATCCTGGGAATCTCTGCTCCAGATGCTAATGAACCTATGTCTGCACACACCCAGCTCAGCAGTTATGAGACCAATTCTAGTAATGAATCCTTAATTGATATCCAAATACTGAAACAGCCTAGTTGCATTGTGAGCTCCCTGGAAGAAAACCCCACCCATAGCCAAGAGTGATCAGTTCCTATTGTCTAGTCTAAAGAAAACCCTCGAGTCATCAGCTTACCTATAAACAAATCTAGTGTTCTCCCTTCCACCATTTTAATTTCTCTACCAAAATCCCTACTCACCCCCTAGTCAGGGTTCTGATGCTTAGATCCAAACTATCCACTGGAACTCCATCTTCTGACTGACCGTGCTGGGGGCTCTGCCTGTCTCCAGCATTCAGGACCCTCAGCTACTACTATCACCTGGGAACCCCGACCAGTTCAAGCCTTGTGGAGTGGGTGAGATCCCCCCTCTTTCTCTCTCTCTGTTTTCCTTTCTACCTTAGGTATTAACCTTTAATCGTGTATGTTATGTTGGCTATTTGTACCCCATGTGTGGATGATTGACCCTCACCGATTATCAACTATGTCTTGATCTTGCCCACTGCCCACCCCCCCATTGGGGACACTACAGTCCGTATGTATTATGTGTGCTGCCAACCCCAACATAACAACATCCCCCCCATACTCTGTATGTTCCCCCCAATGACTGACAACTGACTCCTCAAATCGTTTGTACTGTTTTTATTTTTTAAATATTCTCTAATAAAATTTAAATCACTATTATTCAATAAATAACTTCTATGGTTAAGTTGGTTGCTTCTCTCTCTCTTGCTGAACTTTACTTGTTTGTGTTTTTAGTTTCCCCCATTCACTCTACAGCAACGCTTCTTTTACCTAAGCTAGAGATCCCTGCAGCGCCCAAAATCCTGCGGGGTTTGCTCATCGAGTAGGTTACTGCCAGTACAATTGTGTTGGGGGAGTGGGGATAGGGACGTGCTGAATTTGGGACGCAGAAGGGTAACAGCTTGAAAGTGCTGCTTGACCCAGTCCATGGAGCCCAGGGGCATATAAGGAGAGGCAGCTTGAAAGTGCTGCTTCCTCCAGCCCAGTGAGTCCAGAGACATACAAGGGGTCAGCTTGACAGTGCTGATTGACCCGGTCCGCTCAGACTTGCTCTGTTAATGTACGTGTGTGTGGGTGTTCATCCAGTTCTGGGGCTGGAGAAACCCAGCCCTAGGGACCCTAGGTCCTGCAGGATAGCTCCACTGGGAGGGGACTTACAGAAGGGAGAAGTAGAGCTCCATATAAAAACACAAATGACACAAACAGTACATGGATAGAATTACAGAATCCCCTTCCCCAGAAGCGTAACCCGAATAAATGAGAATACCCCAAAGTAATGGGCACATCTGGTAACAAGACCCAATCCACCCAGTCCTATTTGCAATCCATTCATAGTCAGCCATGTCAAGCAACGATCCCCAGCCCTACATCTCCAGGGGACTGTGTAC